TGTGAATGGAAAGAAAAGCAAAAAGCAAATGAAGCTAACCAGCGTCGGTTTCACCACACTGAAGAGAAAAACTGAAGACATTGAATCAAGCGGTAAAAGTCGTTGCAAATTTTTTCACGCTCGTAAACTTGAGCTACTTTCTGAGTTCTAAAGGTTGGGTTATTACTTCTGCACTGGCTGTTTTGGATTTGTATTAAATGATTTCTTCCATGTATGTTGTTCCATCACCAATTGGAATGGCTTGATTCTCATGAAGGAAACAAAACAGGGTTTGTTTCTTAATTCATGTTAATACAGATACAACAACAATAATGTAAGTTGCACACTTACTGCTGATAAGATCTTAAAGTGATATAGCATTGTTGAGAAATGCAACATATAACTTAATAATCCGTTTGGTAAAACGGATTTTGGAAGGGCAGAGGAGGAAGAGGTAACAATTAGATTTCCTGTCAATCCTGAATCACTGGTCGGATTAAAAATTAACAATCAATTTGGTAATTTTTTTTAGGGCTTCAATTTTGCGAGCCCGATATCTTTTGTGATGGGGTTTGCTAATTAAAAAAAAAATAAAAAAATTAATTGGGCTTGCACTGACAATTAATATTAATTTCATACTATATCACAAGTATTTATATGTATGTTGTATTTGCATATTATTGTTTGATATATTAAATTAACAAAAAACATATCCCCTATATATAATTCCCTCCCCCTATATATAATTCCCGAATGCGCTGAGTTTATGTGGCTGCTTCTGGTGTTTCGGAATCCTACTTGGTGAAAAATTATGTTTCGTAATTAGGTTTGGACAAATAGTATTGATATATTAATAATTAATATTTTAGGTTCAGATATATTAATTGATATATACTTGGCCTTTCAGATGTAGACAGACGTCTGAAAGTTTTGTGTCCCTCTCATGCCAAATCATCGCAAGAAGTAAAAAAACTCACCATTGGAAATTTTTTTGTCCCAAGCCTCTACAATCCTACTGACATTCCATTAGAGATGCTTAACTTTTTTATTTATTAATACATTTTTAATTATAATATTTCCAAAAAAATATA